GAGGTTGGCCGGTCATGGGGAGGGGCCGCAGGAAGTTGGCTGTGGGAGCGCACTGACCACGAGGGGGCTGCTCCTATGTTGATTGTCTGCCCCCGGTGGTCAGTGTGTGTCATAGAGACTGGTCGACTGGTCGTTTCAGTCAGTCTGGTCATTTGGTCGTAATGGTCGCTTAGGCTTATATATATATATCTATATATATATATATATATACATATATATATAGATAGATATAGATATAGATATAGATATAGATATAGATAGATATAGATATAGATGTAGATATAGATATAGATATAGATATAGATATAGATATAGATATAGATATAGATATAGATATAGATATAGATATTTGTATAATCCCAACTATCCAGTTTTGTATATGAGGAGCTTGGAAGTTGCAACTCTGTCCTATCAAGTAAAAAGCTGGATGGATTGAAAAATCAATAATTCTCTTGAGATTCACAAGAGAGGCATGAACATAGGGTGCACAGGGCACACCGTTTCCCCCAGGACTGGAGAGACCTACAGGTGAACACAGGGAGTAACACTTTATCAGAACAGAGACTCAAGAGCAGAAACCACTATGGGAACCAGCGCCAGAGGAAGAAAACCTGACCTGTCACTGATGATGAGACTCAGTGTGGACAAGTTTGAGAGTTAAAATTTGAGGGGACCTACTTATAGGGACATCCCCACAGTATTGTGAAATGTATCTCCACACATTCAACCAGGTTCCATAGTAAATATTGGAAACATTTCCTCATGCTTCTGACAGAGCATTCTGTTTTCCCTCACAAGGCCTGCCCTCAAGAGAAGCTGGTAACAGAACTGACTGGGAATTATCAGAGCCTAACTGACCTGGTGGAGAGAAATACCCAATGCTATCCCCCTCTAGCCATCTTGTCCCTCCTAACGGGTAGAAAAAAATCTCAGAAACACTTATGCTGTTTACAGTTCAGAGGCACAGGCCCATTAAAGACTGGGACTTAATCATGAAACTGTGGAATATTTTCCATCTCTCCATTTTTAAGGGCCTATTTACAGTGGTTCCTTATACTCAGAATGTCATGTGTGGCTATCGAGAAAAAAGTTACAAGGCATACTGAAAGGAAAAATAAATTTTGAAGAGACAGAGCAAACATCAGAATCAGACATGGAAGGGATGAGGAATTTAAAACAACTATGATCGATCTTCTAAGGCCTCTAGTGGATAAAATAGACAGCATGCAGGAATAGATGGGCAACATAAGTAATGAGATGGCCATCCTAAGAAAGAATCAAACAGAAATGCTGTGATCAAAAGCACTGGAACGAAAATGAAGAATGTCCTTGATGGGCTTATTCGTAACCTGAACACAACTAGGAAATATATCTGAGTTAGAGGATATAAAGATAGAAATCTCCCAAACTGAAAAACAAAAACACAGAGAAAAACAACAGAACACAACACCATATCCAAGTACTATAGGACAAACAAATAAATAATGAGAATATCAAAAAAGAAGAAAGAGAAAAGGAATAGAAGAATTTGAAACAGTAACAACTGAGAATTTCCCCAAATTAATGTCTGGCAAAAAACCACAGATTCAGGAAGCTCAGAGAACATGAAGCAGGAAAATGCTTCCCCCCACTCTTAAAAAAAACAAAAAACTGACACACACAAAACACACACACACACACACACACACACACACACAACACAATTAGGCACATCATTTTTAAACTAAAGGAAAGTCAAAGATAAAGTAAAATCCCGAAAATAGTCATTGGAAAAAAGCGCCTTACCTATAGAGGAACAAAAGTAAGAATTACAGTGGAACCTCGGTTCTAAAACTTAGTTTTTCCAGAAGGCTGTTCGAGAAGCAATTTGTTCAAAAACTGAATCCATTTTTCCCATTGGAAATCATGTAAATTGAATGATTCAATTTTAATATTTCTATATACAATATAGTCTAAAGTACTATAAATAAACACATTAAAAACAAAAGGACATGAAAAAATGAAAATGTAACAAAAAGAAATGAAATGTACATAAAAAATGAAAATTTTTATACACATTTACTTGAATGAATTAAGTTTAAAAGCCGAGGTTCCACCGTATTTCTTTTTTTAAACTCTATCCTTCTCACAACTTTCATCTTCAATTTGCTGCTATCAATAACCTTTTTAGGGCCTTTGGTGACTTACTGTACATATTTAATAATAATAAGCAGCATAAAAAACAAACACAAAAATATTCCTAGCACAAGGTTTAGTGGTAAACTTATTTATACTCACACATTCTCTCCTTTGTCTCCTGAGACACATGACTGTTCAGACAGGTATCAGCATGAAAGGATTGTCTGGTCTAAAACTGAAGTTTTGTTTGACAACTGAGTTATTTTCCATGAACAACTTGTCAATAACCAAATTGCACGAGATCAGAGACAGTGAGAACTTAAGTTTGTATATCTGACTTCTCAGACACCATGGAAGCAAGAAAAGAGTAGAATGAATTATTTAAAGGGCTGAAGGGAAAACAAATCCAAAAAACCCTACCAACACAGAATTCATATCCTGATAAATCATCCTTCAAAAGTGAGGAGAAATGAAGACCTTTTTTAATTTTCTTGTTGAGAGTATTACAGATGTCCCCCATTTTAGCCTTTGCCCCCCTCCACCTGTCTCCTGTTTCATCCTAGGTCTTCACCACATTACTGTCTGTGTCTATGGGCTGTGCATACATGCCTATAAATTACCTGGTTAATCTCTTCCCACTCCCTCTTCCCTTCCCTCTGAAATCTGTATCCATGCCTCTGGACCTGTTTTATTCATCAGCTTATTTTGTTCATTAGATTCCACATAGAAGTGAGACCATGTGATATTTGTCTTTCTTTAACTGGCTTATTTTGCTTAGCATAATAATCTCCAGGTCCTTCCTTGCTGTCTCAAAGGGGTAAGAGGCCCATCTTTTTGTAGCTGCATAGTATTCCTTTGTGTAAATGTTCCACTCATCTGCTGATGGACACTTGGGCTGTTTCCAAATCTTAGCTACTTTAAATAATGCTGCAATGAATATAGGGGTGCACATTTACTTTCTGACTGGTGTTTCAAGAAGTAAGGGAATATTTTGCCACTAGACCTACTTTGCAAGAAATGTTAAAAGATGTTTTTTAGAGAGAAGCAAAATGATATAGATCAGAAAATGATACATATGAGACCTACATAAAGGATGGTGAGGAATGAAGACTAAGTGAAGATGAAATAAAAACTTTAATTTTTTTCTTTTTTAAAATTTTACATTTATTATTAAAAGTATTGTAGATGTCCCCCTTTTTCCCATTGACTCCCTCCCAATTAATCTACTAGTCAACATTGTTTAAAATGAAATAACAACAATGTATTCAATTGTGCATTCTTATATATAACATTTATATACATTATATATATATATAATCATGTATGCTTATATACAAGTGAAATGAATGATGTCAATGATATAAGAGATAGAAGGGAGGAATTAAGATTATATTGTTATTATAAGGTACTCACACTATCCATGAAGGAATATAGTGTTCTTTTAAAGTCGGTTTGGATTATTTGTAAAGGTAATGTAACAGTCTAGGGAAATCAGTAAAATAATTTTTAAAAAAGTATAACCAACATGTCAAGAGAGGAGATAAAATGCAATTATATAAAATATTTAATTAAAACTGAAAAAGGCAGAAAAATTATAGAAGACAAAAATGGAATAAAGAATGTGGGCAACAAATAGGAAATAGTAACAGATATGGTAAATATTAATCCAGTTCTCTCAATGATCATTTTGAATATCAGTGGTCTAAATGCAACAATTAAAAAAAAGAATTTTTTAGAGTAGATCAAAAAATAAGACCCCACTATATGTTGTCTACAAGAAATCTATTTTAAATATAAAAACAGGTATAGATTAAAAGTAACTATATGGAAGAATATAGGCTGTCTCCAGAAAATGTATATACAAACTTTGAATAATATAATGGCAGTGTTTATTAAAATACATTTCATTTTCAAAATTGAGCTACCACCTGTTAAAGTGTACATACATTTTGGGGGGAACACCTGTATATACCATGCTTACACTAATCAAAAGAAAGCAAGAGTAGTTATATTCATTTCAGACAGAGCTGACATCAAAGCAGGAAAGTTACCAAAGGTAAATAAGGGAATTACATAACAATAGAGGGTCAATTCTCCAAGAAAACATGACAGTCTATAATGTACAAGTGCCTAACAACAGAATGTCAAGCCATGTGTGACAAAAACTAATAGACTTGCAAAGCGAATTGATGAACACACTATCAGAGTTGGGGATTTCCATACCACTCTATCAGAATTACATAGATCCCTCAGGCAGAAATCCAATAAGGATTGAACTATATCCTGGAAATGGAAGAAAAAACTTAAGCAATGTTAGTAACAAAATATTTTAAAATACTAGATAGATAGTTGGTATTTAATACAACTTAACATTTAATTTCTGCAACTTATAATAAATTAATTCAAATTATTTCACTTTTTACCTTACTTTTCTGTTTTACAATTTTCTCATCTCTAAAATGAGGCTATATTTACAAACTAATTGCAATGATTAATAACTTTTGCTTTAGGCAGCATTTTCCAAGCCAAACTGTATTGCAGAATAATAAACTTCCTAAATTCTCTACCAAGCTCTGAGAAGCAAAGATGAAGGACAGAGGAAATAAATTACATTGACCAAATAGGTACTTGGAGGAGAAACTGTGTATAATGCTAAAATATTTTCTCATTGATTTTGAGACTGGGGACCAGATTTGTGGAGAAATAAACTTATGCAAACCATAGGAATAGCTGTGTATAGCAAACTAAAATATTCTGTTTGAATGTTGCTAAGTTTTGGATATTACAGTGACATGGCAAGATCACTGTGATTTTGGATTGCATGTCTTTAAGTCAGCTAATTTCCTATTTCCTTCTACCATAATTTGGGAAATGTTTTCCAGGTCCCTCCCTTGGGTGCTGCGATTTTGAATTTGATCTCTGTTCCTGGGAGCAGGAACAGGATGATGACTCTGACTGGAATCTGAAAGCTAGCAGCATCCCTGCTGCAGGCACAGAGCCAGCTGCGGACCACACCTTGCGAAATTCGTCTGGTCATTACATCTTCATAAAGAGCTTGTTCCCTCAGCAGCCCATGAGAGCAGCCAGAATTTCAAGCCCTGTCATAAGTAGAAGAAGCAAAAACTGCAAGGTATGGTAAAGACGGAAATATTATGGTCAACTTCTGATAGATTCAACAAGAAAAATGAAATGGTTAGGACAAGACCAAAAATGTGCTTCAATTTATTCCACTTGGGATATGTGAGGAAGAAAGATGGTGAAGTAAGGATGAGATGGAAGGATACTTGGAACTGTAGGAAGACTTTATTCTGTGGGTATAATCCATAAATATTGGAATTTTGGAAACCATTGGGAAACTTCATTATTATTATCCATGGATAATTCAAAAGGAGTAAAATGCCAGTTGTTTTCACTCAGGAAGTTTAGTACATATTGGTGTTATGAGAATTTCTCCATCAGAAAAAATTAAAACACTCTCTCTCTCTCTCTTTCTCTCTCTCTCTATATATATATATATATATATCTCCAAGGATTAATATTAGAGATAGTTGGAGGTACAATAAAATGTTTGAAGATGTCTTCATGAAAAAAGAGAGACTGAACTTGACCCCCCCAAACAAAAAAGAAAAGTGGAATAATTTATATATGTAGGAAGAAAAAAATGTTTTTGCCATGATCCTGTGGAAATTTGAAGAAAACATTTATAGAGTATTAAAAGTATAAATAAAATTGTGTAGCTCTTAGGGCCAAACAGCCTCATATAATGACTATGTATTTTCAGGATCTTTCACTTGCCTTTATTTATTTTTTGCTTGATGGTTTCTATTCCACAAAAATATCGAGTCAGCTACAGTAGGAACTGAACTTGGCTTTATATATAATATAAACTAAGCCCTCAGGGATGACTTCACAGGAATCTTGCTTTTGAGAGATTGATATATAAATCATTGTGTCTTTATGTATATTTACAATGTAAAGTTCAGTCTTCATAAGATCTGAACACATGATTCTGACTGGTGTTTCCCCAAAGTTTGAGCACTAAAAGAAAAGCCAATTACATCCACAAAGTCGCTAGTTGATCAGAGAATCAGGCTGGGAAACAGTGGCATGATTTAATTCTTTATTGTCTTCAAATTCTACAATTCTCATGTACCTTTCTCCACATTAGTGAGAGCCCTAACCCTGGGAAAGCGACATATTAAATCATTGCTGACAGGCTCCCAATTGTACCTGCTCCTGTTACAGATGCGTGTTCTTCTGTTTCATACTGACTAACCTTCACATCCCACCACTGTCACTGTCTTACAGCATGTTAAACCTTTAGTTTGTCTTAGGAGAGTTTCTGTCTGAGCTTAAGGTGATTCATGCGTAAACTCTCAGAGAGTGATCTCATCTCTTTTATGTCCTCAGGCACATCGGATAGGAGTTGTGCCACTCTGGTTTCAGAGATTTTTCTGCAAGAAAGTGAAATGTTCAGATCAGAGTTTTAGAAAAATAACTCAGATGTCCAGAATGAATGTAATATATCATTCAGAATTATATTAAACTTTAATTAGCCTGGCAATAAAACCTGGCTTTTAATCAATTCTATTTTGTTTGTTTTTGTTATCTTCCAAATTACTTGAAACTTTCTAAAAAATAAAGCCCAAACACACCAGACTTTATATAGTTTGAGCATCTCTAAATCTGTGTGTGTGTGTGTATGAAAATTATAAATAAGTTCTAGTCTTAGAAAGCCAATTAAAAATTAAACATGAAATACATATAAAATTCCAGTTGACTTCTAAGCTTTTCTTCTTAGACACTTTCTCTAAAAATGTTCAAAAGATTTTTTTCTTTTCACACTGTAATAACCAAGGATTTCATCCATCTCTGTTTTCCCCGGTCCCAGAACTGTAGTCCCTACTGTTTTAAACATCTGTGTGAGAATAATGAAGTATGCCTAGAAGAAATGTCAAAAATTAATGATGAATGGCTTACTTTATGAATATTTATAATATAGATTGAATACAAAGAAGTAAGGAAAGGTCAAGCTGGAAATGATTGGGTCTCTCATGTAAAAAATATATATGTATTAGATAAGCAGAATGACCTCCCAAATTTTCACAGAAATCCTGTCTATCACTTGACCTTGTGGAATACCTTCAAGCAGACAAACTCAAATTGGAGGTTTTTCTTCCTTTTGAGAAATGGGTGGCAGTGATGGAGATTGATGAGGAAAGAGATCAAACCTCTGAGTGACTACAACTTTCAGTGAAAATGCCTCTTTAGAATTCAGTACTTAGCAGACTGTTATTCACTCAGGGTGCCCGTGATAAGGTTCTGTTGTCATCAGGTGTTCTCTGTAGAAATGGGGGTGTTTCAATGTTTTTTGCATGATAACCTACTGGCCTCATTCAGAAAATGGTCTCAAGAAGATAGAGAAGCATTTACTGTGCTGTAACACATACACTTCATGCTTCTTGTACAAAAGAGAAAACAGACCGCGTCTGTGACTAGAAAGGGTCCAGAGAGACACGTGCTGTGCCCATCAGATTGTTTCTCTGATGCCTGTTGGTGCTGCCCAAGAGTCTGCCCGGGCCCCTTTCGTTTCTCACTCTAAGGGGTTATGCCACCCTGGTTTCACCAGTCCCCCCTGGACAAGGCACAGGGGTCATAGATCTCACATTTTCCAACATTAGTTGCTTAACAATGAGAAGAAATGTGTTTGGATTGGAGCATAATATCTGAAAGTTTCATCAGCTGGACAATTTGAGTAGAGTCATTTACGTGGCTTACGTATTCTTCATGCTCTTTGAAGTATGCATTGCATATATTGTCTGATCACATTCTTTACCCTTTAAAAACGTCCATTTTTCTCTCTCTAGAGTATGCTATTGTTTCAGTAATGCATTTTTGTGTGTGAAGATCAATCCCCATTACAGTTTTCCCTCATTCATACAAATGACAAGAAAAAAAGCTTAAAAACCCTCTGAATTCTTATTGTTTCTAACCTGTACTATTCTTTCTCTCAGATTTTTTTGATTCTCCCTTTCTATGTTAACAATCACTAAAAAGCTAGTCAAATTTATCTTTGAAATGTTAAAGTGTTTATTAATTTTTACTCAGGGAAAAACTCACAAACTGCTCTTCTAAAGCGTGTTTCTAGCATTTTGAGTAAAGTGTGGATAATTGCTGTCGTGGTGGTTTTGCTATATATAGTGGAGCCTCAAGGATCCTATAGAACTGAAAATGTGTTTCAAGTGCAAGAATGCAGTAGAATAAGCGATAGAGGATTCTGCTTTTTGGAGAAAATGATTTAAGTTTCATGAGACTGAAAATTAACTGTGTTTCGTCCCTTCTATTTCTTAATCATGAAAAGTCCTTTTGTATAACACATCACTTTTTAATCATATTTTATTCCTTTGATGGTGATGTTAAGAGTTTATCAATGAATCCTGCATTTAGAAATCACAGAAAGAAAGTAAACTCTGCTCATTTTTTTAAACTAAATTTCTATTTGATCCTTATTGTACTATCCTCCATATATAGCAACATATGATTTTAGGCTGGCCTCACTTTACTCAGTGTTAGAGTATTCACAGAACAACAGGACATGTAGATTTAGTATTCTTTCTGGAATTAATGACAAAGAGGGCAATATAATATCATTGAAAATAAAATGGAATTAATTGTACTAATTACATATAACTTTCTTACTCTTGGTTACAGATAATTTTTCATTATCACATGTATGGAAATGGCATTGGGTCACTCACCTTGATCCAGGTATCAGTCTCAAACAAAACAAGGCTCCTAGTTAATCTCACTGTAGAACAAGGCAACTTCTGGCAGCGGAAGGAACTAATACTGTCTGGCGAGGAGGACTTCCAACTCCAATTTGAAGGAAGAGTAGGGAAAGGACACCGCGGTGATATTGCACTGGATGACATTGTGCTTACGAAGAGTTGTCTGCTCTCCCATCAGTCCATGAAAGAACAACCAGCGGTTCCTCTTCCAACAGGTACACTTCAACTTGTGTTTGTTTGGTGGTTTTACAGGGTAGAAACTGGGAAGGGAAAAAGGAAATAAAAAGCAATGACATACACAAGTAGTTATCTACTGCTTCCATAATGAAAAAAAATCCTTTGTATTCTAAAAATACAGGTACCTTTCAAGCCTCTTCTTATAAAATTATCTTCCTATTTTTCTCTAAGCTTCAGTATATTTATCAGTTCCTGAGTTCTCTATTTAGTCAGCATCTTCTTAGACCAATAAAATAAGACTCCTCTGCTTGCAGTCTGATACAGAATTTAAGATTTAAAAAATATCAGTTCACTCAATTAAATATATGAACATTGAGGGCAGAGCTATTCAATTGTAGTTAGACATTATTGTGGTTATGCTGTTTACATTATTCTTTTTGGACCAACAACTCTAATTTGAGTGGCTGAGTTTACATACTTAACTAGTTTAGATAATGAATATGCCTGTATATTCTTTTAACCTAAAATATATTTTGGTAATTTGTCCAAGGAATTATATTAAAATTTTGAGTTGGTAGATATTCAATATAAAACATAGAGTGACAATGTTGTAAGAAGTGGAAATAGCAAGAATGTATATAATACACTAGAGGTATGAGATGAAAATAAATGCAATAGTATTATTAAAATGACAAAGGAGCAAACATTGTCAGTTGATACATATCACATATTAATATTTAAAGCATGGGTTTAGCATCAAAAACAAAAGTGCTGTTTCTTTGGTAGCTAAATTATTTCTCTTATAACTAATGAAAACAAAAGTGCTTTAAAAAGAATAAATGTGTTTGCTTTTGCTTTTAAGGTGTGGATGGAATAAGGAATATTGCCATTTCTAGCTTTACTTACCCATTCATTTCAAAGGGAGTATTTTAAATTGGTTGAGAAAGTTCCTAGGTAAATGTTCTGCAGTTGCTAACTAGTCCAACAGGCTCTTTGCCTACCGTGTTTTTAGCACTATATGGAGTAACATAGAGGAGAACAGACAAACATTTAAGATTATGTTGAAAATTAAGTATAAGAATGTAATGCAAAAGCATTTCAGAAACCTCAGACTAATCTACTTCCTTGAGGAAACTTTGCTTTTTATTCCCATCTGTGTGGTTGTTTGGATGATAGGTAGTATACTAGCTTTTGTACAGGTCTGGTCTTCTTAATAGTAATTTTTAACATAATAAAAATACTCTCATAGCATCTAAATAGTGGGAAAGTCAAGTTTCATGTTAAATCACCTAAAACTTTAATGAGCAACTACTAAGTGGGGTGCAAGAGGAATAAATCAATCTTGTTGGAAATATTAAAATTTTAAATCTGTGAAATCTTTCTTTTTATTTTTTTAAAATATATTTTATTGATTTTTTTACAGAGAGGAAGGGAGAGAGATAGAGAGTTAGAAACATCCATGAGAGAGAAAGATCAATCAGCTGCCTCCTGCACACCCCCTACTGGGGATGTGCCCGCAACCAAGGTACATGCCCTTGACCGGAATTGAACCTGGGACCTTTCAGTTCGCAGGCCGACGCTCTATCCACTGAGCCAAACCGGTTCGGCTGAAATCTTGAATAAAGTTATTTTTTTTAAATTTTCAAAAGGAAAATTAAACAGTATTTACAAAGTGGTGCAAACTATATATTTATTATCAAATTAAGGGCACATATTAATAATACTAAAGTTATTTGTATATTCTTGATATTTGAGGTATTATTTTAAAATTTTTGATGAATGGGAAATAAAAGCATCTCTGTTCATAACTAAATGCCTGGCCGGCATGGCTCAGTGATTGAGTGTTGATCTATGAACCAGGAAGTCACAGTTCAATTCCCGGTCAGGGCACATGCCTAGGTTACTGGCTTGATCCCCTGTAGGGTACATGCAGAAGGCAGCCTATCAATGATTCTCTCTCATCATTGATGTTTCTATGTCTCTCTCCCTCTCTCTTCCTCTCTAAAATCAATAAAATAATGAACAAAAAAGAATTCAGAGACATAGAAGCATGGAGCATACTGTCAAACCATAGAGGGAAGGCAGGGGAAGGTGGGTGGGGGTAAGAGGTCAACCAAAGGACTTGTATTTATGCATATAAGCATAACCAGTGGACACAGACAGTAGGAGGGGTGTGGGAATGTGCTGGGGAGCAGGAGCAGGTGGAGAGAGGTCAATGGGGGGAAAAGAAGATATATATAATATTTTCAACAATAAATAATATATATATGTATATATGTATATATATAAAATAATATATATATTATTTTATATATATATATATATATATATATATATATATATATATATATAAAATAACTCAGTGGTAAGGGGGATTAAGAAAATACCTTAGATAACTCTAATATAAGATAGAATAATTAAGTGCCAAGAGAAGTATACAAACCATTACAAGGATGTAGAGAAGATGAAGAAAGCCTCTAGTTGAGGACATCTAATCTGAGACTTCTTTACAGGATGCCTAGAAATTTGGAACTAACCACACTGAGAGCTCCTTCATTTTCCAAGGGCAGAGAGGCCAACTGTGAGCACTGTGGACCAGATAATAAATGTGGAAGGGAGAGCACTGTGGGCAAGTACAAGGTGTGAGACAGAGCGGAGATGGTTTAATGCAGACCATGGAGGTGAACCATGTGGGGTGATTTGGCTGAAGCAGGTACTTCATGGCGCTGAGTATCTGAGATAAAATATTACAAAAGAAACCCAGAGCTATGGTGAATATTAGTTTGTTTTAACAAACCATTTTATAAAACAAACAAGAAAGGAAGGGAAGCCCTAGCAGGTTTGGCTCAGTGGATAGAGCGTTGGTCGGCGGATTGAAAGGTCCCGGGTTCGATTGTGGTCAAGGGCACGTGCCCTCTCCATTCCACTCTGAAATCAAGAAAAATATTTTTTTTTAAAAAAGGAAGGAAAAAAAGAAAGGGGGGAGGGACAAAGGAAGAACGAGAGAATAGAAGGAAGGAAGAAAGGAAAGAAAAGAAGGAAGAAAAACATAAAGGCCCAAAGAGCTGATACAGTGTTTATTAATTTAAGCTATGGTAATTGGTAGGATGGCTATAGTAGAAAGAGGCCTTTGCCCCCCTCCCCCCCCCCAAAAAAAAATCACCACATGTCTTTATGCTATTTGGAAAATTCTGAAAATTGAAGTGAAATAATTTAATGTTTTCAAAACGATCTCAGCTGTGATCCCTACATTCAAATGCAGCAAATGAAAAATAAAAATAAACATGTATGGAATTTACATTCTTATAAACAATTTGAGATACCTTTAAGTTGCCTCCAGAAACCAACAGTATTTGCCTTCCTCTTGGTAAAAGTGAGAAGCTTAACTTTGTTGAGACTTGAAATGTGAACTATTTCAAAATAACAATGATTTCATCATCATATATATATATATATATATATATATATATATATATATATATACAGTATCCTGTACAAATAAAATGCCAAACTGCTTTCTGTGATGTTCATGAGAGTTGGAGCAGAGTTCACTGATATTATGGAGGTCTACCATAAGTATAATGAGAGTCACACATGTAAGCCATATATGTATTTTATATTTTCTAGTTGTTATGTTTAAAAATGTAAAATTAATTTTAACATATTTTATTAACTAAACACACTAATACTATTATTCAACATAAAAGCAATATAAAATATGAATAAGATATTCTCCATTCCTGTTTTCATAAGCCTTTAAGTACAGTGTATATCATATTTTTCCGTGTATGAGACGCCCCCCACTTTTCCAACCCCAAATTAATAAATCAATATTTTAAACATTTTGCTGGTTTTCGTCTTAAGGCCTTCTTCTTTTTTGGCTTCTCAAGGAGTTGTTCTTCCTGTTTTCTCCACTGTCTGATCACACTCAGTGGGAGGAGTTCCAAATTGTCTCTCTGCAGCTCTATTTCCATGCTCTTTTGCATAGCTGATTGCATTCAGTTTGAATTTTGCAAAGACAATCGCTTACCCGTATTTATCTTTTTATTTTTTGACATCTTTATGGGCTCAGAATGCTCCAGTCCCTGTTGCATCTGCACACTCTCCACCTCCACCTCTAATTACAGCATCAACTGATGTCAGTAACAATGAGGCTCATGATTGGAGGGAGCCTGTTTGACAAGGTATGGGCAGCTATGCACCCGTGCGGCTTCCTCCTCAGCTGACTTCCCTGTATCAGATGCCTCTTGATTTTAAGTCTAACGATTTTAGAAAAAAAAATAGCATGTTATACACAGAAAAATATGGTATTTTACCTGCCAGCACATTCAGATTGGATTAGCCATATTTCAGTTGTTCAGTAGCCAGTCATGGCTAATGGCCACCCACTGGGCAGCACAGGAGATGAAGTGAATGTGAGGGCACTTTCAGGTCTGTCCCTGACAATGGGGTTCCATTTTTCAGGGTAAATTTTGTGAATTCCTAAGAATTGCAGTTGTATTATTTAAATAGAAGCACAGAAATGTACCCAGGGCCCAATGTGAAAGCACAGGTGTCATGTTCTAGTGGACTAGATACTTGTCTCAGACTCCCTTCTTCCTAACTACGTGCTGCACAACTCTGAGACTCAGTTTCCTCATCGCTAAAGCAAATAGATCAGCACCTGTTCCTTAGGTTCTTGGGTTCTTATGAGTAAAAAGAGGTAATTGCCTATGTAATTTGTCTAGTTTCATGGCTGGTATAATGTAAGCATTTATTCAATAAGATAATCTCATTTTATATTATGCTATATTTTGGAGCACCTTTATCGTTTTTCCTTAGGCAGTGTAGCCATTTGAAAGTAAGTATCCATTATTCGCATTTTTATTAAAACATGTTTTTCTACCATTTGTTTTGACAAAATTATTTTTCTTGCAGAGATCACAAGCATATAATTATTTTATGTTACATTACAATCATTCAATTTTATCATTTTGATAATGTCTCTATTTTTAAGAAATCATGAATAATATGTATGTAAGTGTGTATCTTTGAAATG